ATTGCAGCTAAACGATCAGATTTTTACAAATTGTAAGTTTTGGGTTCGTTGAAGGATTAATAAAGCTACAATTTAAAAATATTTTTACACGATACAGAGTGTCCTAAATAAATAAAAAATATAAAAGTTGTATTTTTTTAAATGGAAAACACTGTATATTATTACATTTTTATTTTTTACGATTAAAATGAATGAGAATGAATTTGATTAAGATTTACGGCATTTTTATCTTACCGCTTTTGAAATATTTAGGTTTTTGTCAAAATACAGTAATAATTTTAATGCTTCATTTCTCTAGAAGTATTTAAGTTTTTAAAACCAATAGTTCAGTAATATTATGGCTCAAATTGCGATATATCCGACAAAATTCATAAAGTTTTCAAAATTCGTGGAAATAATCCAGACATCATATATATTAATAAACTGTAAAGTTCCCACCCCTAAATAGTGCGTCATCCCCCAGGACATCGTTTCTACCCCCATTTTGAGTTTTTTAAATAATGTCGGCAACGGTGCAATTCTCGACAAAAATACCTACATAGAAAATTGTTCTTCATAAAATTCTCTATCAAAAAGATAATTACACCTTTTTCTAACGTTAATAATAAAGTGGCAAATAGGGCGCGAATATAAGGGTTGGTTATGACTAGCACTATCTGCAGTTCAATCTAATTTAAAGTTTAATGTTTAATGCTAACAAAAAGCAGTAACCACTAAATTATACTTAGAATTTTAATATACGTTTTTCTCTCACACTCCTTTCTATAAAATGGGTGATTTGTACTTATTTCCACATCACCCTAGAGGTAAAGTATTTGATGCGTTTTTTTTTAAAGTGGTATCCCCTGTAGCCTAATCCATTAATTATCAAATGTTAAACATGGGATTTTATTTAAAAGTTTAAAAGTGCGTCGTGCAAATCGCGAAAAGCCGATATCTAGTTTGAGCCATACAATGAAAATTAATGGCAATGTTCAAGTTGACTCAACATTACTAATTCAAAGAATTATTTGCACCGTTCATTCTAGCATGGAGTTAAAAAGTGCTTTAGTTTCGAATTAGCTTCAGTACCTCTTTCTCTTTTTGATGCGAAAGGCCTAATGAGGAAAACTAATAAAGCAGCTATATACCAGATTGTTGTAGCATTAGAAGTTATAAAAAAATGATGGAATGTTTTTTTTATAAGAATTTTCTTTTGGAAAAAATGTTAAAACAACTAATTCTATGCGACGGAGCTGTTCGCCGATGAGCAATGGGTCGTAAGCTAGTGAAAATTAAATTGTGATACTTAAGTCTTTATAATATACTGGGCGCCACTCAGTTTTCCATTTACTTTCGGAAACTTCTAAGTTGAGAACTGAGAAATCAACTCAGAATATAGGTATTACTTATTTTAGGAATTACACAAATGAAACGCTGAGACAAACTAATAACTAAGTATAATTAATAATTAAATGTTAATTAGAATAAAATAACACTATGAAAAATTTGATGTTTGAAAATATTTGTTGGTAAATTGTATGTATTAAAATAGATCACTAGTAGTTAAATCTGCACGCTTCTGAATATTAATATTTTATTAATTATTCCGCAAAAAGTCTGGCAATCTTGGTACCAAAATGTAGGGATATATAATTATAATAAGTAATATAATTACTCTTTATATAAAAAAAACCGTACTATGTAGATATCAGAAATATGCATAACATGAATAAAATATTTCAGAGTGACTCTAAAGCAATCAAATATATAATATGCCTGAAGGGCTTAATGCATTCAAATGAACTTAAATTATATAGATATAAAATGAAATGATCTGGCCTTGTTTTTATCCGTTCTGGTCACAAGCTGGTTGTGGTGAACTGCTACTGGAACTGGATTCTGATAAAAACGTCTCTGCACAGACAGGATCGAAAACTTGTGTGGATTCAGGAGATTCCTCCGTTATTCCCGGTGTGAAATGTAGGGACAAAACGTGGCCCAAATGTCAGGTACAAAAACAAAATGGCACCAGAAAATGCTACCATAAAACAAAATGCGTACCATAAAATAAAACCCTGTACAAATAAAAAAAGATATTAGGAAACGTTACGTTTAAAATAAAAGTCTTACCTCTGCTCAGAGGGTTTTCCCAAACAAATTGGCAAAATGCCAACAAACTCCGATAGCTCTATCGGTTTGAGCCTTTACCACCAATATGGCGAGGGAAGGTAGGCACGAAGTGTGACTATACACCGTCAGATATAAAGTGCTCAACAAACTTCGACCGGACTGAAATATTTCGCCAGAAATAAACTTGAAAAAAATAAAAGATAATAGCAGTACTTAGAACGCCATCTCGATGCGAGGACTTAAACTTGATTTATTTAAATAAAATAATTCTGTACATTTATATAAATTATGTGTATTTTAAATAAAATGCTACATTATCAATAAAGTTCCAGAACGAGACCATATTTTTGAAAACAGAGAGTATGTCATTGATGGAGGATATTTGCTTCGCCGCGTAATATGGCGAAAAAAGGGACATTTAACATTGTATACAACGCTTACGTTAGTCACATTAAAAAACATTATGGAAATAGAGTAACTGTTGTGTTCGATGGATATATGGAAAACGCAAACAGCATGAAGAGTCTAGAACGACAGAGGCGGCTACTTCAAAGAAGCTGTCCTCAAATTATGTTTGACGAGAATACTCTTGTCTCTGAAACTCAGCAGAACTTCCTAATTAATTTGTTTAACAAAGAACTTAACCTTTAATCACAGAACTAGTAAACAAATTTAGGAAAGAAGGTATAGAAGTATTTGTTGCTGCGGATGACGCCGATTTATTAATAATTCAAACTGTTATAGAAAAATCTAATAATTGCGATACAACTGTTATAGTGGGGCAAGATATTGGCCTGCTAGTTCTTCTTATTGCACTTTCTCCCTCTCACGAAGATATCATATTTTTAAAAGAAAAACAGGGTAATACTTGCAAAAGGATTTACAGTTCTCAAGATTTACAATCCGCAACTTTATTATATATACCTTTATACTTTACCTCTAGGGTGATGTGGAAATAAGTACAAATCACCCTTTTTATAAGGGTAGGGGAACGTATATTAAAATTCTAAGTATAATTTAGTGGTTACTGGTTTTTGTTAACGTTAAACATTAAACTTTAAATTAGATTGAACTACAGATAGTGCTATTCATAACCAACCCTTATATTTGCGTCCTATTTGCCACTTTATTATTAACTTTAGAAAAAAAGTGTGATTATCTTTTTGATAGAGAATTTTATGAAGAACAATTTCCTATATAGGTATTTTTGTCAAGAATTGCACCGTTGCCGAGATTATCTAAAAAACTCAAAATGGGGGTAGAAACGATATCCTGTGGGATGACGCACACTATTCAGGGGTGGGAACTTTTCGGTTTAGTAATCCTCATGCTATCCCCAACATACCTACCAATTTTCACAACTTTCTGAATTTTGTCGTGTTTAAATCGTAATATTACTGGATTACAAATATTGTACTGAAGTATTTCTATTTACTAAATTTTGTGTTGCAATAGTAAAAATTATACTACCTTATACAGAGTGTCTAAAATATTATTTTAAATAATTACTAGTTTTAAATGGCAATAACTTGTTTAAATTAACGGGAACACCCTGTATATTTAGGAGAATCAGATTAAACCACTTTTTACCTATCTCTCAAGTTTTCGTAGAAAATGCATTTTCTTATAATTTTGACCTCATTTATCAATATACCTATGAAATATTGACATCTATTATTTTTAAAAATGTAATAAATTTTTAAAGAGTACAGATACTAATATTGTCGATATAGTTCGTTTATTTCATTAAACAATTAAAAAAACTGTTTAAATATTTGTTAAAGAGTATCAATGAATATGATTGCAGTATTCAGACACCTTTAATTGACTGTTTGTGTTGATTAATAATAATTGCTCCAAAGACTAAAAAAGTGAATTTTGTATGTGATTAGACAGTATGGTAAGAAGTAACACCTTAAAAATGATATTTCATTTTTTGACGAAGGCGTATTTATAACACCAGAGACGTTCATTATCATAACTTATTATTAAATTGATTTCTGATTCATAAGCACATTTATTTAGAATAATTTATTAACTAACACAATTAAGTATGTAATTAATTAATATTTGGGCGAAAATAATGGTGGAATATTTAATTTTAATGGTATTACTCTTTTATAAAGATTTAAATAGTTTTCTTTTTGTACACAAATGGGCTAGTAATATAGTTTTTGGCACTTGCACATTTTGTGTGTTCTTTAAAAATAATCTAAAATGTCAATATTCCATGGGTATATTGATAAATTCGGTCTAAATTATAAGAGAATGCATTTTTTACGAAAACTTGAAGGGATAGGTAAAAAATGGTATAATACAATTTGATAGACAATTAAATTGTGCATCTGATTCTCATAAAATATATAGGGTGTTCTACCCTATTGACAAGTTATTGCCGTTTAAAGCTAGAAATTATTTAAAATAAATTTTTAGACACCCTGTATGAGGTAATATTATTTTAATTATTGCAACACAATAACTGATCAATAAGTAAACTTCAGTAAATATTTCGTATTAAAAAACTTTGATACTCTTGGAAAAATAAAGCCTTAAAATTTTTACTGCAAATTCATAAAATTGGTAATATTTCAAAAACGGTAAGGTTTAAGTGTAATAAACCTTAATCAAATTTACCATTATTTTAATCATAGAAACTAAAAATGTAATAATATGCAGGGTGTTTCATTTAAAAAAATACAACTTTGATATTTTTTATTTATTTGGGACACTCTGTATCTAGTAAAAATATTTTTAAATGGTAGCTCTAATAGTCCTTCAACGAACCCAAAACTTACAATTTGTAAAAGTCTAATCGTTTAGCTACAATACTCCGTGTCGTATGAGGTGAACAACCCTGTATAATCTTAATACGATTTTTTTGTTTTCAGGTGGTTGGTAACGGTGAGCGCTGCATTCCAGGAGATGACACTGCATGCGGAGATGAAGGTCCAGCAAAACAGGCACGATTAGCTCACCCTAAAGGTATAGCAGTTGCTGTCGATGGTACTATGTACATCGCTGACGGGACCAATATTAGAGCTGTCGATCACAAAGGAATCATCCATACATTAATTGGTAATCACGGGCATCATAACCACTGGATACCTATTGCTTGTAGTGGAGCAATTTCTGCTAGTCAGGTATGTGTAAGATTATAAGTTATCTTAACTTAACCTCTCTATAGATAATAGGACTTATGGTAAACCCTATTGAGTAAACCATTATTAGATATAATTCAAAATGAAACGGAAATTGGATCGACAATAGGTAATACAAATAATAATTTTTATTTTAAATTTATTAAAATGTTCTTTATTATCTAGAACGACGCGACGTCTCGTACAATGAAACCTAATTAATTTTTTGCTTCAAACTAGATCGTTTTAATTGAATTAAAGGACAAATTTATAACCAGGAGGAAGTTAATAACAGCAGCGACACTGAACGAAATAGGCAATTTAACTTTTGCTGTTAGTATAGTCTAAGTAGATTTTCAATATATTCCAACGAAAATATGTTATAGACCAGTAACTTCCATTAGGCCACTAATCTTGATATTGCAGTCACCGAAACCTGCGGCTCCATCACGAATGGTTTTCCAAATTAAACGTTTCAAATTGGAAGTACAACAAAGCTAGGAAATCTATTCGTTTCCCACTATATAAACTTAAATTGACTATTAAAATTGAACGCCATAAAATAGATTTTCGATTTTAAGTGCAAGGCTGTAACGTTTTTTTATAAACAATACTACTGCGAACGGCAGCTTTTCATCGGAGAGCTGTCGTGGATAAGGTATTTCACTAGAGAGAAAACCAATCAACAACAATAAATAAAAAAATACAGATATTGGGCGCCAGACATGTACAGAGAAAGAAAACACAGTTGTATATTACTTAAAACTAATGATTATATTTCATGATGTTCTTTGCTGGTACATGACATTGTAGAATTTTAATAAATATATAGTGGTTATATGTCAAAAAAAAATGGTGTTAAGAGTTGTACTAAATATCTATGAAAGTAATACCTTTACAAGACGTAATGTAATGAAACCTAAGATCTAAATCATATTATAAATATTAAATCGACATGAATGTTCTTAACAATCTAACCACTAAACATAGTCTGTACGATATTACTTAAGATGTACGTTATTGTTTAAGACTGAAAATGTTTTAGATGTTAAATGTAAAACTAGAACTTAAATCTACACTTAGCTGTTCTTTATGTAATCTTGCTTCAAGCAGTAACAGTTTGGTTTGGTTGCGATCCTGTTGGCCAAAACAACAAAAGGGGCCAGAATGAGGACACCACAAATCAATACAGCCGTAGCTACTGGCTAGGCTTAGATATGGGAGCGAAGCAGCATGGGGCTTACGCTGTACCCATACTGTGGCAATATGGGGACACTACCCGTACCTTGGAACACTACTAGGACCTTGGATAATGTCCGTAACTTGGACCATAACCTTGGACACAGTCCGTCCATAAGATAACGGTACAGGGGAACACTACCCGTACCTTGGACACAGTCCGTCCATAAGACAATGTACGTCCATAAGATAATGTACGTCCATAAGATAATGTACGTCCATAAGATAATGTACATCCATAAGATAACGGTACGTTCATAAGACCCTCGAATTACTTCCGAGGGCTCAATAATAAACAAAGAAACTGTCCTTTCTTCCATGTAACATTCTGGAGGACAAAAGAAAAGAGACGCCAACATGCCAGCAAAATACAAATACAAGTTAAGTTGGGACATCCAAAACTCTACCCTAAAAATATGCAGTAATAATATCGAATCTAAAAGGATAATATCTCATTTTTACCTGTTGCTTTGAAATAGCAGCTGATTCAAATTATACAGCAAGATTTAAATAATCACCATTTCTAAAAGCCGGGATACAACAGAGCGGCAAAACAAAGTGAGGTTAAGCACGGAGAGAGTTGACAGAAGCGATGTTGACAGCGCCTCCTCAGAGCGATAACAGGGTTGTGTCAAACGATAACAGGGTTGGCGACTAGGGAATGTAAAAATTACGCCAAGCGTGCCAAATAAATTATCACCCCTGAACGATACGGAATCCGATGACGATACGCCAGACATCATATATAAAAAAGACATGTAACGAACTAAAAACGTTACACTGCCCTCCTCCGAAAAGAAAAGAAATGGACCTGTAAGGTACAGGGTGGGTCAAATTCGACGCTTTTAAATGGAAACACCCATTTCTATAGGAGATAGACGAAAACTAACATCGGTGTCTGGAGCTCAATTTTCATCAAAAACATAATGGTGAAAACCGCAATTCAATATCTGTTACCGTTTCGGAGTTACGGGGTGTTTTTCAAAAATGTGCATTTTTAACAAATCGCTGGAACTTTTTTGCCATGGAAAATTTTGTATTTCTATGACAACATTTCCAAAGCACCTTTTTACATAGAATTTAATGGTTTAAGTATAATTTTTTTAAAATTAATAATTTAAGAGTTATCAACAGAAAAAATGATTTTTTATTTGGGACACCCCCTATATTTTAATTAACTGAAAAGAATTTAAAATTACCTTTCCAAAAACATAGCACACTTAATATTTTGTTATAATCCCCTTCGAAATAAAGAATTTTGAAAAGTTCGCCACTTTTAACTAGTAGGCTTTGGACGCCTTATTGATGATATGCTGCTTAATGGAACTCGAAAACATATTTTTCCAGCAAGACGACGCGCGACACACCGCCTCTGAACGCTGAAGTTATCAGCAAATTTTTTCAGCCAATTTTAAGAATAATTGAATAGCTAACCAACAACATTTTTAACCAACGCCTGACTTAGTGCCCATGGATCTAATCCTATGGATATATTTGCGGAAGAATAAAGGTTCCTTATTCTTCCGTATAATCTAGACAATAATTAGAAATACTTAGCAGTTATGAGAGGGTATCTTTCACCCCCACTGAGGTAATGAATTCCGCGAGAAATGTTCAAAAACTGCCCCGTCTGTCCATAATAGAAGACGGTTGATATGTCGAACACCTGTAGCAAAATCTCATGTCTTGGTTTGCTATTTATTTTTATTGTTATTAGATATAGTTTAAATGTGTTGATGTTGGTTAAATATATTTTAAATTGTTATAAAATTCTGCATCTCTCATAGCAAATATTACTTTCGTCTTATGCTTTTGACAAAAATTGAGCTCCAGACACCGATATTAGTTTTTGTCTATCTCCTATAGAAAAGGGTGTTTCCATTTAAAAGCGTCGAATTTGACCCACCCTGTACACTTTCTTTTTCACAAATCTGGGGATAGCAAAAAAAATCAAAAGAAGAAAACTACTTCGTAAATTTCAGAATTTATGACGCTGGAGATCTTAAAAAAAATTAAAGGTGTAAAATTACTAAAGTTACTGGTCACTGGATACGCCGTAAAGTACAGAGATACTCGAGCCATTGTTCTGCTAAAATAAAATAATACAGAGGAACTAGTTAGAGAGTTAGAGGAACTAGGACAGTTAGAGGAACTCAGCTAATATGGTACGCAAGATTAATAAATACTGCTATAGTTAGGTGTTTTATAACGATATAGGTGTAAATTATCGATAATTCAGGCTAGACAAGTGCAGACTCAAAATTACGCAATGTTCTAAAACAACGCGACTCTATAATAATTAAAGAGAACGTCGATCCATTCATGGTATCGATACGTCTCGGTTTATAATCTTGGTGATAATTCTTAAAACCAACATTCTACTTCATGTCAGATCAACTACGCCAGAGAAGGAACACCACAGTACTAGAGCAGCTAGAGGTATACGATGGCCGGTACCCTAAAACCAAAACAACCAAACAAATTTACTGTGCCAGTACAAACCTTCTCTCAAACGGAATGGACAACACTAACAACGCCAGACAAGGAATTATATGGAACTAGAGCAGTTAATGGTTGACGACGGTCGGTACTATAAGACCAAAACAACCAGACAAATATACTGTTCCAGCTCAAACCTTCTCTCAGATGGAATGTATCATACTAACAACGTCAGACAAGGAATTACAGACTAGAGCAACAGAGGCTGAAGATGATTACCCGAACCTAAACACCTCTAAAAAATTCACACTAGCTCAACCCTTCTCTCCAACGCAGTGACTGGAACCAACAACAACAAAAACCAGAGATAATCACCAAGAGACAGAACTGTAAAGAAAGATTAAAAAAGAAATGAGTGTGGAAAAATCATACCCTACATCTGTCAGCATGAGGGAATGCACTGTAGTGTACATCAACTAAAATGGGATAAATAGAGAATATCTACAAAGATACCCCAAAATGACTCTAAATACAAAAAAAATACAATGAAAAACCTTCTGAGCATTATCTCAGAAAGTAAAAAAAAACCTACTCATCGCCTAGGGTAGTCGACGGAAGGTCAACGCCCTGTCGAGCAAATTGCGACGGAAACCCAACCAGGTATCAATCAATCAAATCAATATAATTAAATCAATGAATATAAATATTACTATAAAAGTAATACTATATACGTAATATGTGAATAAGGTGTACGGAAAGAATTTCCGGCACTCGATATTCTGAGACTTATCACATACTACGGTGGCATTTGACGGACTCTTACCGTCACGAGGAATCCGTACATGGCTATTCTTTACTGTTGAGCATGCAACTGACCAGTAGCACACTCAACTCGCCCACCATGTAGAGCGGATATAGGCCACAAGGTCACAAACCACGACCATAGTCTAGGTAATAGCCATAGATCGAAACAAAGTAAAAAAAACGAATGACAAAATGACAATCAAACAAACTCAAAGACTTACAGCAAACTGTAAAGTCAAAAATCACAAAATGTCATACACGGCATTGCTCAAAGCCAGACTCAAAAAAATACAATTGCTGAACGCAAGTAAACTGTAGGGCTAAATGAAACTAACGAGCTAAACTAAACTATACATAAGTGACTAAAATAATGAAATTGTCTCCATGACAACTCATCGGGCAAAACCAAACTGATAACTATATCACTGATAGCTATTCTAAACCAAAAGATTGGTGTAATTGCTCGCGAAACAATACACCTGGACTAAAAAACCAGAAAAACTAATAAAACAGAGCATCATCATCTCGCTTTGCACGCCACTAAGAAACTCAATGCATCTGCACATTCCATACAGACACTGCCAAAATTCACTCAAAAAAAACAAAATAAACTTGATACAGATGTCACCAGGGCAAATATATCTGACAATACAAAAAGATTCAAACCTGACACAAGTGTCATCAAAAAATATCTCTCCAAATAAAGAGAGAACTAGAACTCCAACTAAACTCAACCTACTGACGCGTTTTGACACAGATATAGTTCTTCGGAAACATTGCATTGGCTATCATATCTAGTAAAACTATTAATACCAGGCAACAGAATCCGAAAACAGGAATATCAAACGTCAATCCTCCATAAACTTGAGTCACGAGCGCTAAATCGCTCAAATAACTCAAAAACAATCATCATGTCAAATGATGACAACACGTTAATGATCTTGGACGTCTCCAAAAAAAATCATTAACAACCAAAATGTTCACATTAGCATCCTGCTAACTGTAAACCATAAATACGACAAATGCTCACCGCATATGTCGTCTGCAACACTGCAAAAAATTTAATGTTCTCCTGACATTAAATCACTAAACGGTAAATGTCTGTTTATGAAAAGTTATTCGGCAACTATCATAACAGAACAAGTACCAAACATTCCTTTGACACGTACATAGACAGCTGTCAAAAGAAAACAAAACGATACCTCACGTATCAAATATGACAAGTCACCCTCGTCATACACTCAAAAAACCTCAAAGGATACAATTCCTGTATCAACATAACAATCCTAGTGTAACTGTCATAACAATCAAAAAATTCAAAATGTACCTACAGTACCAAACAAGACAGTCTAACAACTGTCGATAGTAACTGACAACACTGAAGGTTCAGATGATGAAACATAGTGAATTGGATACTAAATAATAAAAAATTGGCATAAAAAACATTGGCATAGAAACCTGAAGGTAAACTAAACAATAAACGAGATGAGATTAACTCTTACGTACTTCTATAAGCAAAAAATAACCCTAAATGTCAGTTTAGCAGCTCGCCCTAACAGTTATCGATAATCACAAAGACTTGTAAAATTAATTGCAATCAATTAATCAACAAAAACAAAATCAAAATGGTCAAGTTGTGACCACCCAGTATAGGAAAATTATCAAAATAATCTCAACTAAGTATAACGTTCAAAATTTATATGAAATTTCAAACACCTCAAGATATAAAAAAAATCAAAGTCGAAAATTTAATGCTTGTCCTCCCTGTATAGGGAAAATACAAACCAAAATGTCTGTAAATACAAAGCTTCAAACCTTATCAAATGTCAAACACCTTGAAATTTAAAAAATTTCAAAATCACAAAAAAGTATTGACCACCCTGTATAAGGAAGTCCCAACAATAGATAATAATATAGCACCATTTCTAAAAGCCGGGATACAACAGAGCGGCAAAACAAAGTGAGGTTAAGCACGGAGAGAGTTGACAGAAGCGATGTTGACAGCGCCTCCTCAGAGCGATAACAGGGTTGTGTCAAACGATAACAGGGTTGGCGACTAGGGAACGTAAAAATTACGCCAAGCGTGCCAAATAAATTATCAGGCCTGAACGATACGGAATCCGATGACGATACGCCAGACATCATATATATCATATATAAAAAAGATGTGTAACGAACTAAAAACGTTACAAGGCATCTATTTAAATAAACCAATAGTTTTATTAAATTGAGTAGATTCTCTGTTACCCGACTACTCGAGTTAATAAACCACTGAAGTGTTTCCTATTCAGTTTTTTTTTCTTTTGTTAACCTTTCGTAGGTCGCGCTTGATTTGTTACATGAAAGTTCGCGCGCGGACTTTAAGTTCCTTTTGCATTCTCTGGATCACGGTGTTGTTTGTGACATGGTAAGTGTATGAGATCCTGAGCATGCGGCGATAGCACCATATTTCAAAGCCTTCCAAGCGTTTAGATGTAGCATCTGTCAAGGTCCAAGCTTCCACTCCATATAGGAGCGTGGAGAATACGTAGCACTTTAGGACCTGTGTTCTTATAGCAATATTCAGGTGCATATTGCATAGGATTTTTCTAAGATGGTTAAAAGACGGTTAAAAGACGGTCAAATTATTAAAATTGTTATTTGTTCTCCGCATGCTAAATTCAAAAGGCCTTAAGCGGTGCTAGTGGTGTAAAGACATAAAATAATATGATAATCAAAATAACAATTATTTATTGATTTACTTCGTTACAAATAGCAGACATAAACATAAAACATAAAACACGCAAAAACACATTAATAAATATAAATCAAAAACAAAAATAATTAATAAAAATGAAAAAATCTATCCGTATAACAGTGATTACAGAATATTTGTGTGTGCTCAAAACATACGAAATTGTGATACTGTACAAAGAGTAACGAGTTGGTCTGTTTTTTCGCCTATCACAATTCAGTAGTGCCGATACTCTGGTAATACTGTATTCAGTGCTTCAGAATCTGAAATTTATTTTTCAGTATCAGAATTTATTTTGGGCCCTTGCTTTTCTATAAAAACGTTTCTATAAATTCGTTCAAACAAACTTGTATGAACTGTTTCACACTTTCTTGCAGAGTATATCTGAAAAATAATAATTTTTAATAAAAAAGTCGATTACTCACTTTTTTAATCAGAATTTGTTCATTTTCAATTAAAACAAATCAGTAAAATAACTTACCTGGTCGCCATTATAAAATTATTGATGTAAAAATAGTACCACAAACGGTTGCGCGCGGACTAACACTCCGCAAATGAGTATAAAAAGATACTAACTACCCGAAACGATGTGCAAACGTACACTTCTCATAAAATATGCAGAGACAGGAAGATAAAAGCGGCGCAGCATCTGATGTTTCCAGATTTTTGAATTATGGGGAAAAATAGGTACCTGCGGACTGTGAGTCCGCGCGTGAGCTCCGGAGGGTTAAATGCGTATGATTACAACTTAAATCATGTCATTATAATTGATCTTCTATAACTCTACAACATTATATATGTTTTAAAAATAATGTTAATAATAAATATTACAATAATGTTACAGGCTCAACTACAATGGCCCACCGGTCTATCTTTAAGTCCTTTGGATGGAGCTATTCACTTTATAGACGACAGGCTGATATTGAAACTCACAGCAGAAATGAAAGTGTCAGTTGTAGCAGGAACACCACTTCATTGTCATAAGGCTGCAAATATAACAGTGAACGAAGATAATGTCTTAGGTAAGATTTGAAATTAGGTGTTTAAAGAATACGGGGGGGGGGGGGATTATGAAGAAACTTTTATCTAGTATTAAAGTACCCTAGTTTTAATATTTTACAACCATAGGAATAATCAATCGAACATTATAAATTTATATTATACAAAGGTAGAATAAATTAGTATTAGTATGGCAGCAATCGAGTAATCATTTACATGACCCTAAACACATTTTTACATCCGGATGACATCAAAATATTTGCTCAAACAGTTATTAAAAAGGTTCTTTAAGCAATAAATTTTGGCTCAAAGAAAATTCTTTAAAATCCATTCTCTGTTAAAACTGAATATTAGTTATAATATTCGTCTATTCCAGAACAATGGGGTTTTCCTTTCGATTTGGTTGGCCTTTGGTCTGACCTTTTTTTTATCGTGTAAGGATTTCTTTACAAAGGATTTTTTCCAAAATCATACAAAATTTAAAACTTATAAATTTTCTACTTTTATTAGTTTATTAAATACTATACAGGGTAAGTCTTAAATAAGTGCAAATATTTTTAGGGCTGTAGATCTCGATAAAAGAAACATATTTTCTCTTTGTCGTTTTTCAAATAAGTCCAAAATAACTGAGTTATTTAAGTTTGAAAATTTATTATATATACCCTACCTAAGCCTTCTTAGCTCCATCTACGGTAACGTGGATGAAGCAAGCATAATAAAAAATTGTTTTTTGTTGTGAAAAAATTTTGGGAGCCACCGGATTTTTTTCTGTAATTTTTTTCTCTAATTTTAATCTACTACCGATGTTGTCACGCTTTTAAGATACCACATTTTTTAACTGAAAATTTTAAAATAGTTACCTAAGTTCTAATCGTATTTATCACACGCCATGGCATCCAAAGGGTTTTGGAAAAATGCGTTTCTTGTTTAATGGTGTTCGCCAGTAGCACTGTTATTCCACATAATAAATAGAAAAAGCTTACCTCTGATATTTAAATATATATAAACGGGATTTGGTGTAAGTATTTGATACTTTTTTCCAACTACAGCTTATTGCTGCCTTCCCGTTACCCTACGCCACACGTCTCGATATAGTGCGTCATCAGCTTCTGGGTACGAGCTTCCATTGCTTCCTTAACCGTTCCGTTCCAGGATTTTCTAGGTCAGCCTCTCTTTCTTCTACCCTGGGAAGTCCATTGGAAAACTTTCCTTGGCCACCTGTTTTCCGGCATACGCAGAACATGTCCAAACCACTTTAAGCTGGATTTTTCGATTCGATCTAGCACTGTTTCGTCCGATGCATTCATGATACGCCTGACCTCGATGTTTGTCTTTTTTTTTCCATCCCAGATATACCTGCGCTTCTTCTAAGATTCCAAGTCGATTTCAACAACTTGAATTTTGCGCTTCGTATCTGCACTCAGAGTCCATAGCTCTGAACCACAGCAAAGGACTGACTCCACCAATGTTCGTCCAAGTCTCTTTTTAGTTGTTGCAGACAAGTTTCGGTCCCACCAGAGGATATTAAGACAACCAATAACTTGTTTGCTCTTCTGAATTCGGGTTTGTATTTCTTTTTTGCCCAAACCCTCGTTGTTGCTAGTAGCACCCAGGTATTTAAATTTGTCTACTTGTTGAATCTGGATCTTATCATCTATGAAGACTTCAAAACAAGCGTTGAAATTGACAGCTATGTATTCTGTCTTTTTTAGACTAACCTGAAGTCCCCATTTGTTATATTCTTGGCAAAGCCTCTTAGTCATGAACTCCAGATCGAAAGAGTCCTGCGCAATCACGACCTGATCGTCTGCAAAGCTCAGAGTAAACAGTGTATCTTCCCCAATGGGTATTCGCATACCTTGACATTTCCTCTTCCATTCCTTAAGGGCTACTTCAACGTAAGCATTGAAGATTAGATGTGATAAGCTGCATCCTTGTCGCAACCCTTTTGTGGTATTTATTCGATTGGATAGCCTGTGTCCTATCTTAACGTACGGTTTATTTTCTTTATAGAGCTCTTTTATTATCTTAAGTAGGGGTCTATCTACTTCTAAAATATTCATAGCTACCATATCTTGTTGCGAGGAATAAGAGTCGTACGCTTTCTCCAAATCAATAAACGCTAGATGGTAGATGATAGATTTACTGCTATCTTTTTTTCCATCACCTGCTGTAGGACAAAGAGGTTATCTGTGCAAGATTTCCCCGGTGTGAATTCGTTTTGATCTTATGAGATTCTGTCACCAATATTATCCCTGAGCTTACCCTGCAGAACTTTTCCAAAAAGCCTGCTAACTAAACTGTTGATGCTCAGGCCTCTATAACAACCGGGGTCGTTGCGATTTTCCTTTTTAAAGATAGACACTATATGAGCCACTCTCCATTCTTGGGGTAGTTTATTTTGCACACAGCACTGGTTGGACAGCTCTGCCAAGCGCCAGCGCAATTTCTCGGTCCCACACTTTAACAATTCCACTGCAATGTTACCAGGACCTGGTGACCGTCCATTTTTCATTTTTTTGAGACTTCGATGTACTTCTCTTTCGCTGATCGTTAAAGTACCTGCAATATTGTCTTCCTCTTCTGCAGATTGGAATTCTGGTCGGTTTTCTATTAGTAATTCTGCATAGTAGTTGCGCCATTTTTCTATATCAATTTTATTCAAGAGCTTGTCCGTTTGATTGGTTTTTATTTGTCGGATTGTTCTCCAGACATCAGTACTCCGTGCGCCCCCTAGTAGACTTTCCACTTGCTGACATCTTCTTTCCCACATATCCGTTTTTCCTACCTTAATAGCGGCTCGTACCTCTCTGTTTTTTTGCTTGTAATGACCCCAGTTAGTCTCTGTTCTGTCTGAGACTCATTTTTGATAGAATTCTTCATTGGTACAGCCATTTAATACTGGCATCGTGTAGTAAGCGAAGCTTGTCAGTTCTTATGATTCTGTATGTCCAATACTCCTGGCTCTGCTTTGGATGATATTTAAATAAGATGCTATTAAGTTAATATTTATTATATTCTTAATGTGCAAGTCCCGCCTTATCTGTACACAACACACTGGAAACAACAAACACTTGTACACAACTAACACTTGTAGACAACAAACACTTGTTCACCAATAATATAATAATAGAACAACCAATATCTTTCCATTTCCTTAAACACTCAGAAACGTACGCATTTACTAACAAAATATATCTTTGTAATGTTATGTACACTTGCATTAAGCCACCAACACTTGTAGACAACAAAATGGTTCACCAATAATATAATAATAGAACAACCAACATCTTTCCATTTCACTTAAACACTCAGAAACGTACGCATTTACTAACAAAATATATCTTTGTAATGTTATGTATATATATATATCCATTTCCTATATATATATATATATATATTATATATATATATATATATATATATATATATATATATATATATATATATATATATATATATATATATATATATATATATATATATATATATATATATATATATATATATATATATATATATATATCTATTATCTGACAAACGGATCTAAAACAGCAAGAGGAATGCGGGCAAAAAAAGTCGACGTTGTCACGTTTAATAATAGAAAAGCAAAGTTGCTCAATATTACCTATAAATTGAATATATTTTAGTCCATTTCAGCATACATAATTATATACAGTCCTGGTCATTTAATTACTGTGTATAGGATTTTAATGGATACGACAGAGAATAATACAATTGACCGGTTGACAGAGAGAGACGCAAAATAAAAGGGGGGATACAGTATTGCCGGTTCGTAAACGTGTAGGCGGGATTAAGAATGAGCATGGTGGGAGCACAAATCGACTCCGATACCGGTGATAATTCGAGACTGCACTCAGTGTTGCCAGATAAACTTCCTCTAATAACCTCTGCATAACTAATAGCATATTGTCAAATAATATCATTAGTTAGAATAGTTTTCGTTTTCTGGTTAGAATTTTTGTTTTAAATCTCAATAAAGAAAAATTACATTAAAAAAAAATAAACTACTCAAAACAATTATCGCGTATTTTCTAAAAAAATATTAATTTGAAAAACAAGACATTTTGAATTCCCCCATTTTGAAATTAATAATTTGGTTACAAATATGCAACTCAATAGTCGGCCGATTAAAATTACCTGTCAGCGCATAACCTAAGGCTACGCAATGTAATCAAATATTGGCCCGATCGGCTCCATAAGAATGTATTGTTTTCACTTTTGCAACCAAGTCCAAAGTCGGCCGACTAAAAATGACATGTCAGTGCATACCCTAATTATCCTAAAAAACTCACAAGAGAAAGACAGAAAAATGCATGCTTCAGTTAGAAATATGTAATAATTACTTTTATTCAAATATGCGATAATTGTTTTGAGTAGTGTATAATTATTAAAATATATTTTCTGATGATACTATTAGAAATGCCAAGTTTGGGAACAAAATTAAAACACACATTAAATTTTGTCTAAAAAATATGTTTTCCGAAAATTTACTTCTATGATTTAAATTTTAATTCTTACTAGATTTAGGGAAATTTCCTAGACCTGGCAACTATGACTAATATTCAAGACAATCAAAGACGGTCAAAGGACCGTCTCCATGTTAAGAGATTTCTTACTTCTTTCCCCCACCACTTGATATGTCATACCTGATTGGTCTCATCTCCCCACTCGAAGATTTGGAAGCCATTTGGAATTTCTGTCGCCACGTGTCACCCATGAAACTCTTGAGTCATAGGCGTACTAATATTTTATTTCCATTTAGATTTAGTATTACAGCCAATTATAGTTTAAAAGTTTTACTTATGAATTCTGTAAAATTTAATTTTCTAGAATTGTTATAAGAATCGTTTTATGATAGCTGACAAAGTTTAAGACGGAAGATGATCGATGCGGGGCGTCGTCGATGCGGTTCGTGGATACGATCCGTTAGTTCGTCTGGAAATTTGTCCATTTTGTTCGTTATATTTCTTTTAATGGTTCACCCAAAAATCGATATTCTGTCAAATCGCCGCGCAACCCATCGCACGGACCCGTTCGCGCTAGAGGTGTGTAGTTCGTGAACGAACTAGTTCCAATGAACTATTCCAACCCCGGAATGAAAGGAACTAGTTCCTCAGGACCTATTCCGGGATCGAGACTGTGACCGATATACATGTATAATAATATGCGACGGCGAGGGATCGGCCAGCGCGCGTAGCCCGATGCTAGGCAGAAGTGGGGAGTGCCAGCTGTAAGTTATCGGATCCGGACCTAGAGGAACTAAAACTAAATAAAAGACTAGTTTACGTAAGTACGGATCGGGCCAGCGCGATCGATGCTAGGCAGGAGTGGGGAGTGCCAGCATAATGTTATCGGATCCGGATCCGATAGTTCCTTTAGGTCCGGAGCTAAAGGAACTAGAGGAACTAAATAAAAGACTAGTTTACGTATGGATCAGCCAGCACGATTAATGCTAGGCAGGCGTGGGGAGTGCCAGCCGTATGTTATCGGATCCGGACATAGAGGAACTAATTAAAAGACTAGTTCACGGGAATCTATTCAGTCGGCAGATCCGAGATATAATACAAGGCGACGACGATGGATTCGGCATTGTCTATTGCCACAGCCGGCGTAATTACCACAGAAAATTGTCGTAAATACTGTTTTTGATTTTTAGCTTGTCTTTTAAATATTTTATAGAAATGTTTCACTTCAGGTCCCTAAAATTCAGAAATATCTTATAAAACGAAGTAGATATTCTGAATTTTTAGACAATTTTCGTAAAATTTTTGTAATATTTGCTCCAATTGATTTGTGACATAGTTTTTTAAACTCTAATTTGAGTTTCTTTTTTATTTTTTTTTATCTGCAATAAAACTTACCTATATGTTTTTAACATACACAATTACACGTCTCGTTATATCTCCGTACATTATAAAAATTATACAGATCATACTGTGAATAGTTTTGACTGACAACTAAACGCATTAGCAAGCAAGGGGGATGTCAATGTTAGTCGGGAACTATTGTGAACTAAAGACCTAGTTCAAGGTACTATTCCTCTGGAGGAACTAGAACTAAGGAACTAGTTCCTCCCAGGGAACTAGAAGTCCCACCTCTAGTTCGCGCAACAAATCGACCTATCTACGAACTGTGTCAGTGCATGGTAAGTATTGGTCTTTATTATAATGCTGTATAGTTTACTGTAACACTTAAATAAAAACTATACATTTATATATTTATGGTTCTAGTTGTGCTACCTTTTGAGGGGTGTAAAATAAATGATTTATTTATAATAATATTAAATTTCTGCGGGGTGGTGTAACTAGTGTTACAACGGTTGTGAGTATGGTATTACATTATCATAATGTTATAATATGAAATATACCTACTACCTATTTTGTCTAATATTGGTACAGAAAACTTATCAGTATAAAGTTTTACTTATCTTTAGCCTTTTTAATGCTGTTTGTAACCCTCTATGTCTATAATAATGGACAACGAGTAATTAGTAATTCTGAATATATCTATAAGAACTTTTAGTTTTAAGTACGCCTATGACTGAAATGCAGCGCCCACCTTCTCCTTCTAGTCAGCGGCCATAATGTCAGGGTCCATCAGAGTCAAGGATGAGTAGAGATAAATAAATTTAAATTTATTAATTTTAGGGCCTGCTCTATTCTAACATGTAAGAAATATTTATTGATGGATAAGTACGGCAGATATGTAATAAAAAGCCGTTTTGTATAATACCGAAATGGTATTTGAAGAACATATTATAATCAAATTATCAAATTGAATTGATAATAAATTTATGTGCCCGTGTTTTATAAGCCGTCTGCAGAAAATTGACTATAGTAATAAAAATATGACTCATGTCAATGTTTATCCCAAATTATAAATCGATAAGAGTTCTCATTAATAATAGTAATGTGGATATATTTTTCAGAACTTACTTTAACTTTATTTAAAAATTACTTTTTTAATTTTGTACTAGTTTATAGCACTTAACAATATAATCAATCATTTGTCTGTCATCAATGTATCATATACACCTCTATAATTATTTAATACATAATTACAATGATACGTAATTATACTGATTACAATGGTCGACATGTCAATAATAGAATTAATAGAATTTGCGCTATTTACTACGTTATGTAATTAACTGATTATCTGCCATATTAGGTATCTGCGGATGTACGTCACTAACGTAATAAAGAAGCAAAAAATAACAAATAAATAAACTAACCAAAAGGTTAGTTTATATTTAATAATACGTGGCTTTGGGTGCCAGTTGTCGTGTATATGAAGAGGACAGTCAACATGTTCAGTACAATACGATATACTGAGAAAGAAAAGACTCTATAATACGAGAGAAGAATGCGAAGTGCTGAATGCGAAGAAGAATGCGGCTATTAACTATTAACTCGGATCGGTCGACAATATAATAGAATTTGCGCTATTTAATACATTATGTAATTAATTGATTACCTATTTTATTAAGTAACTACGGATGTACGTGATTAAGTAATAGCATGTTTTACGGTTAGTTTATTTAATTATACGTACACACGGCTTTGGGTGCCGATTGGCTGTCCTCCATTCGCGAATTTCAAGTTCCAGAGCTTTACGCTCTAGGCTACTCGAGAACGGTTCTGAAAGGAGCTGTGCGCGATAGCCTCGTGCCTCCATATGGCGCGGAACAGTTCTGAACTTTATGACTCAATTGAAATAGATTTAGATGATTTATTTTCTTTAGGTATGTATTAACAAAAGCATAAGTTTATTTTGAACTTGGCAAATATGCTAAATGCTTGGTAAAACATCATAGAACTACCAAAAACTTTTTTTTTAGTATTTCTAGAAAACAGGAAATTAGGATGCAGTAGGTTTGTTTCTGGCTTGTGGAAATGGACTCTCCCCCTTCTAGCTCTAGCTGGTCCCAAGTATTCATTCTTAGTGACGATAGTGGATTGTTGTTAACCACAGGATCCGCTTCTAGTGCCAATTCGAGTTTTGAAAGCAAGAGTGACAAGAGGCATTATCATTTTGAGGTATTTAGCAATACTATTTTAATTACCTAGAGCTCAGGACACAAAGATATTAAGTTAAATTTAATGGAAAATCATTTTATCTTTTATTAACCCATTAGTGTACAGCGTCCCTTTAAAGGGACCACGTGAAAATCAGCTGTTATGAATATTCAAACTGATTTAAACCTAACCTAAATATTTTACGTTGTTGGTATATTATTTGGATTACCGATTTTAGTGAAAGAAGTTATTAATATTACGTTATTTCAAAGCAGTGAGTGATATTGTTCGTAATGGATGCCTCACAATATTCATCTAGGAACGGAGGGTAAGTTTTTGTGTCATATTTCAGTAAATAATATTAATGAAAATGCTTCTACCTCAAATTTAGTTTAATTATGAACTACTTTTTGCGACTATGCTATATTTCATAGTGATTTATTCGACGTATATTGTTTACATCAGTTTTTTGTTGACGTCCCTTTAAAGGGACACTATACCTAGAGTGCTCAAATATAATACACAAGCGGTATACGTCGGCAAAAAAAGGTTGGCGTTTAGAAGTCTTCTTGGTAGCTAATAATTGTATTTTTATGTGTTTTTCAGGTTAGCTCTGCATGAACTATTGCAATGTCTCGAGGAAGATGATGATAATGTTCCAATGGATATATATGTACAACCCCCTGATGATGGAAAAGAATCGGGTGCAGATAGCGACTTATCGGATGATGAACATGAAGCTAATTTGGACCACCTTCCGCGAAATTTATTGAGTGCGCCATGTGAAGTAAGAAAGAGATTATCAGAGGATATGGACGAAGATGAATATAGTAGCGAAGATGATTTGAGTTTATCAGAGCTTCGAAAAAAATTGCTGCAAGATGTAACTCATACCAAATCAAAAAAGACAAAATCTAAAGTGACTTGGCAAAAAACTCTTCCAACTAATTGTATAAAAAACGCGTTTTTATCGGAAGTAAGCATGTCCCAAGAAGTAGAAGACTGCAAAACACCTGTAGACTTTTTTAGACTTTTTTTTAACGATTCTCTGATTGAATTATTTGTAACAGAAACAAATCGTTACGCTTTACAAAAGAACAAAACTCTAAATGTCACAAAAGACGAAATGTTTGTTTTTATTGGTGGAATGTTATTATCTGGGTATGCAAAATACCCAAACAAACGAATGTACTGGTCGCAGAGAATCGATGTTCCTCGTATTTTATCCGATGCTATAAGACTTCATCGATTTGAAAATATTCTAACTAATTTTCATCTAAACGATAATGACGCTATTGATAAAAACGATCGACTTTATAAACTTCGCCCCTTGTTGAATCATTTGAACGAATCTTTCAAAACACATGGTAGCTTAGAAGAGAATTTGTCCATAGACGAAAGTATGATTCCGTATTATGGCAAACATTATGCCAAGCAATACATAAAGGGTAAACCAATCAGGTTCGGATTCAAAAATTGGGCATTGTGTGCAAGTTCTGGCTATATGATATCATTTGACGTTTACACAGGTAAAGGCACCGTGAATGAGTATGACTTTGGATTGGGTGGTGATGTTGTCATCAGATTGATAAAGCAAGCCGAATTACCACCGAGTCAAGGACATAAATTATTCTTCGACAATTATTTTACCTCTGTACAGCTGATGTTACATCTTACTCAAGAGGGATTCTGTGCTACGGGAACAATAAGAGAAAGCAGGACTGAAAAGGCGTTACTAAAAGACAAAAAAATTATGCAAAAATCGAAGAGAGGGCATTACGATTTTTGTACTAACGATGACAAAAATATTCTCTTGATACGCTGGAAAGATAATCAAGTGGTTACTCTTGCCACAAACTTTGATAGCGCACGGGAAACTACATGCACACGTTGGAACAAAACAAAAAAGGCAAAAGAAAGTATAGTACAACCCCAAGCCATTTCAAGCTACAACAAATCGATGGGCGGAGTGGATCTGATGGACCAAATGGTCGCTGTATACAGAACCAGGATGCGTCAGCGAAAATGGTGGTGGCCTATTTTTTCATATTTTTTAGATGTTACTGTTGTTAACTCATGGATTCTAATGAAAAAAATCTTCCCAAATAATGAACATTCTGTAAATTTATTAAATTTTCGACGATATCTTGCGAATTGCTTTTTGCAAAATTATGGCAAACCTTCATCCAGAGGAAAAATCGCTCCCACTCCTTTAGAAGATGTAAGATACGATGGAAAGGATCATTGGCCAGAGTATTGCGTAACAGATAGAAGATGTAGAGTGTGTGGGAAAAAATCAAATTTTCTTTGCTTAAAATGTAATATTGGGTTACATCCCAAAACATGTTTTAAAGTTTACCATGTTCGTTAAAACCTATTGCACTGCAGGTACAATGTCCCTTTTAGGGGACGGTTCATATTTTTCAAATAAAAGTTTTTTTTGTAAATTTAGTGGTAGTTTTTAATTATTTTATTCCTTATCACCTTATACAAGCCAAAATTTCATCGCCATGCCTTGTTGGAAACTTCATACACTAATGGGCTAATACCACTTATAATGGAAAAAATGCCAACTAATACCACGATTAATACCACTAATACCAAGTAATGTCAACATCTTGTACACCAAAATACACCAGCGGTTTACCCCTCCCTCAGTAAATGCTGACCAGTGCCGCTTTATCCATTAGGCAAGATAGGCAGCTGCCTAGGGCGGCAGGCCGAATAACAAAATTTACTTGAATTTTATTAGTTGAAGGGGGCAGCAAAATAAATGGTGCCTAGGGTACCAAATCACCTTAAGGCGGCCCTGCCCAAGACTTTCTCTTGTCGATCCGGTATAAATCTATTATCTTAGCCTTAAATAAATTAGAATAAAATAAACTATGTTAAAAACTTTCATGTATATTACTGAAATGAAGATAATATATCTAAGCTAAATGTAATATATTACAGTTGTAGTAAAATGAGTAACTAGTTGTCGAAAATCCAGATCCAACCCTGATGCAACATTTTTTTGAAACGTCTACTTCTGCGGTTTGAAATTTTGATGCAAAATCCGGCAATACCGCTCAGAAGAAATGTACCCACCCATACCCACCCAACTTTTTTCTCTTTTTAATACATTTGATTTGCCATTAAGCTGCCTACATCACTGTCTTACACGTTAAAATCCTATACACAGAGTTGACCTGTCCCGATCGGTATATATCTTGACGTTGTTCTTATTGTATTAATATATATTTATCTAATTAACTGATCTCCCTCATTCTGCTTATTATAAAAGGTAAAGTATTTCTTAAAAATAACGTCCGCTTAGGGCAAGCTGGCAACGCTGACAAAATTTATCATGGAATCCCGGATTCAACCAATCTGATTGGTCGAGATTCTCGCACGTTTTGGCGCCATTACCCCCAACTTTATGCCATTCTCTAGGAATAGTAGAAACAGCCACTATTACTGAAAAATCCATTGGCGGTGTATTATATTGTATTTTATGCCTTTAACTTTATTTCTACTTATTGTAATTAGTACACGCGTTTTAACAAATATTACTATATTTGGCAAATGACTAAACAAAATCTAGGTACATTTAAAGTAAAATAATATTATAAACTTTACTGGAAAATATTATAAAAATTCCTGATATATTTTTATGAAACACCGCACGCTCCTGGATATTTTATGAATGAAATCGGTCATGATTTCACAAAATTGCGATCCCCTTACCGTTGCCCCGTTGTTTCAGATCCGTTTGTCAGACTGATCTTTGTAACCTTACATGCGGTAAAAGTTTGCTTATGTTGGCTTATTGTTTTTTTTGACTGATATATCTACATGGGAAGGCAATCTTGGTTAAAGCGATTTTTTCTTTAAACTATAAATAAATATTAATTGTATCAACTTAAAAATACTTTGAAACTAGTAAACACAGCAATTTCAAAACATTCTGTGGTTTCAGCTGTTTTATTTGCTTTGCGGCAGGGGCGGTGTAGGCAGTAGGGCCGGGCCGAATTTATTAAATTAAAAATTCTTGTCGATAACCCTTTATAATTTTACGTCAAAACTGACGGCTGTATTCCGTTGCAAAACCAGACGAACCAGACCGGTAAACTACGATAAAGAGCGGTTCCTGAAAAACATCGGTTTGATACGGAACGGTTTGATAAAATACTGGAAACGTCAAATGTTGACGTTTTCTAAATTTCAATAACTCTATTATAAAATTTATCTTTTATGCATTTTTAATGTACCTATTCTCTGCTATTACGTTTGCTTCTTCTGTTCAATGGAGTTTAATATTGAAAAGTACTTAATTAATAAACTGTTAAACTCGTTAGACAGCTCAAATGAAGATTTGCAGGTCCAATATTAAAACAGATTAATAATAAATAAACAAATCTAAACAATATTTATATTTTTATAACTTACAAAAAATTCACGATTACTTGTTGTCTTGTTTTTCGTGTTTTTATTAAAATGTTCCTGACTTTAAGAAACAATGGCTGCATGATAAGTTTAAATTGTTCTAAAAAGTAATTCTATTTAGTTTTAGTTAATGAAATTTATTTACCTTTACTGCCTACCTCCATTGCTTTTGGATGTAAATACAAAATATTATTACAAATTTTAGAACTTAAATGAGAATTTCACTCGAACTTCCAATATTTGCTTGATTTCTGTCACATAAATGACATTGATTGACAAACAAAACCAGAAAAGCTAGTCTTCTCTCGCTGGTTAGTTTGGTGACAGTTATAACTTAATAGAAGATTATTTTCTTTTATCTATGGTTATAACCGATTTTTTCAGGAACCGTGTTCCATAATAAGAAAACATTCAGGAAACCGAGAGAAACTGAACATAAAACCATAACTAAGGTAAGCAATGGAATACGCCCTTACTTAACAGTGAACACTTGACAGAATGACAAAACAATGTCAAGTCTATTTTAATTTTAAAATAAATTAAAAATCGTTTTTAATTTTGTTAAGCTCATTATTTTCTTATCTGAAAAATTACAATACATTGCTCATGAAGTACACACAATACCACAAGGAGATATATAGGTAGGAAATTTTCCAACTACATTGTTTTAATAGACGTAAACTCTCAGAGAAATAAACATAGGATAGAGATTGGCTTGTACTGACAAGGTAAGAGTCTTAAAAACAATTAATTACACTCAACAGACGTTTATGTGTGCTTAAAACCGGTTAAAGGGATGTGTTTTATTCTAGTTAGTTATTTATTATATGAATACTGAAATAGAGCACAACTAGTATTTCTGCACTTTATAATACAGGGTATTTTGTTTATTCCATTTCTGAATTTTTCACCCCTTTTCAGCAATTTTTACTTGTTAATTGCAGTTTCTCAGATGAGTAATTAGAAATATAAAATACACTTAGGAAGTGGCAATGTTGCATCCCTTTTAGTGCCGTAACTGTCAGATATTAAGAAATTAGAACTATATATAGTTCAAAATCATAATTTAAAAATGGTTTCCGGTTCCTTTTAGGGAAGATTATTTAAAGTTATAAAAAGCATATATTTTGAAAAATAAAATAAAAATTAATGGGAAATGAAATTTTAAATACTTAAAAAATCCAAAAAAAATCAATGTCCAACAATGTTGCTTTTTTTCAATTTTTCTACTGTAAAATTTTCACATACTCTAGTTACGACACTGTGTGGAAAGCCACGATGAGATCTCACAACTTTTTGTAGTGGAATTATTGCGTTGAGAAACTTAATATTTTTTACATTCTATGATTTTGATGGTATTAGTTATACACTGTGTTAAATAGAAACCGGAACCTCCCGGCACCGGTTCCCAAATAAATTCCGATAAAAAGTGTGACGTACATGAATGTCGTAAAAATGTACATCGCATTGGTAAAATTTAAGATGTTACTTAATAGTGTACCAATATACCGGTCCGATTTAGCCATGGCAGCAAAAAGGAGACGTTAACTTGAAACTGAACTGAATTAACGAAGCAAAGTAGAATCTAACCTTTGTTAATATGAAAGATAAATCTTAGAGGAACCTCACCACGAGAAATGGCACATGTTTTATGAAACACCCTGTATTGTTTTATTTTGAAATTTATTTAATGTCTCATCTTTAATGTTTCAACAATACAATTAAATATGTACCATACAATTGAAAAAATAACGATGTTGGAGATGGATTTTGGAACTGTAAACTTTTTGATAAAATAGATCTACAGTCACATCCAGGCCCTCACACATATCCAAAAAGATCCAATCTGTTTCCAGAATAGAATTATACAATTTAGTATAATTTGCTTTTCTAAAGTTATACCTTAGTGGAAGACTTATCCCGGTTCGAGTTGCACTACATGCGCAATTCACTTGCCCTTATCCAAGGTCACCGTTTACGCTCCAATCCAGATGTAAGAGACCTAGAGAACCCCACATGACCTTTATACTTCATTGAGTTACTTCTAAGTTTGATCTTTTGAACCTTGAACGACCTTGGTATTATTGGATGAGCTTAAATGACCTTGGCGACTATTTAATTTGATCTCAAAATGACATTGACGGTCGACTTTGAACAACCTTGTAGTTAAAAAATGTCTATACCTATGTGTCGGATTCATCTCTCCATAAAAGTCCTATGGGTGTTTCGTTGGATTAACGCAGCAGCGTTTATAAAAATAATAACTATTTTATTCTGTAGATTTTCTTACAGTGGTGAAATATCCATAGGACTTTATGTAGAAATATTAAAGTTATTATATCGCTGTCCTAGAACAATACTAGGATAACTTTAAAAATGTCGATTTTCAGTTATCCTGGTCATTTTATTGTAAAAATCGAGCTCTTTCTCTTGCAATAGTCAGATTTATGAAATTCTTAATTTGGGCCCAGTATACAATGTACCACTATTACAATATGTAAAGTTTAAATGATTTGTAGGGAAATAGTGGGACATAATGAAAAGTCCTTTATACTGAACTGGAATTATTCTCATTATTTAACTTGTTTGCGGGTGAAATAGTAAGATATTTAATGATGTCCTAGTTTTTTTACCGCATATAGAAATATCATTTTAAAGATATCCTGTTTTTTAAACTTGTCCTAGTATTACAATGGTAGACATACCTTGGTATTTCACAACAAATAGAAAAAATATTGTAAAATATCTCTTTTTTTAAGTTGACTTTGTATTGATCCAAGGTTTCATTCACTGTTTTTAAAAAAATGAAAAGCTCATTAAAGATATCCGTGTATTGCAACAACGACAAGTTCAATTTTGTTGATCGCTAAGAAATGGATCGGTCCGATTATAAGAGAAAAAAGCAGGCAAACCTTATACCGTAAACAACATAAAATATACTGATATAGACTGGAAATCATTCAGTAATAATTTTGGCAATTTCATTAACAATGTCGACGATGAGAAAGTATATTGGAGCAACATAAAAGTTTTACGAATTGTCAAAGACAATCCAGATACAATTTTTTATAAAGATACATTTGCCACAGAAACTTTCAAGGAAATTAAAGTAAC